TTTGGTTTGCTTTTCTTCTTTTTCTCTTTTCTGCATTTTGTATAATTTTTTTGACTTTTTAGCTGTAGTTATTCCAATTTTCTTCTGTTACCTTGTAGTATTAGTATAGTCTTCTTGTTTCTCTTTGTCCCTTTTTGTTTCTCTGCTTATTCTTTTCTAAGATACCTGTGCTATCAATTGTAATCAGACTATTCTATGATCACTATCTGTTACCATTTCCATTTGTTCTATATTGCTATCTAGAATAAGACTTCTCATGTCTTGTATTGTTCAGATATAATCTATTCTATTTGATACATTATCATTTGACTATGAGTATTTGATTAGCTCTGGGTTGCAGAAGCAGAAGGTTTTTATATAGTCAGTATTTTTGTGATTCTCATATCTGTATTTGCATTTCTTCTTCCTTTGCTGCTCATATCTAGTCTTTCATCTAATACCGTATTAAAATCTCCTAAGATTATATATATTGTGTTTTTTCTGTTCTTAATAATTTTTTCTAATAATATCTTATGTATCTTTTTCATTACTTCTTTATTTTTAGGAGGTAGATATACTATCCATACTTGAAAAACTAATCTTCTAAAGAAAAACTCTGCTTTGAGCAGATATGAGCTAAATCTTTTGCAAACTCCCATGTTTCTCAACTAAGTTTCATCAACTAGTAGGCCAATTCCTGATCCTTTATGTTTTCCTTTTTCTGTTTCTATCTAAAAGCTTGAATACCTATACTCTTTTGTATTTATCTATTTGCTTTCTTGTTCATCTATGTTTATTTCTACTATTCTAATTAAATTGTAACCTTCTGACTTACCATACTCTGCTAATAATTCTACCTTTTGTTATCTTCTTTAATTCCATTAATATTATGTGTATCTATCTTTATATTTCTTTGTTTTTCCTTTCTGTCTCTATTATCATCATTAATTCTTCTTTTTTCTTCACTTCTCTTTATACTTCTTTTATGTTTTTCTTTAATTTGGTTTAAAGATATTACTGCTCTAAGTTGTCTTTCAAGTTTTCCTTCTTGATTAACTAGAACTTTCATTAGTTCAACTTTAGCAACTTTTAGGAGTAGTTTGAAGCTTCAAGGTTTCAGTTATCTTCAAAGCTACTTAGTTTTCTTTCCAAAGCCTGAATATGTTGAGCTATATTATTGATAGATTCTTTGTACTCATTTTCTTTATAAGATTCTGTTCTTCTATCATCTGTATGGAACTCAACTCACTTTTCTGAGTTTCTGTATGCTTTGTTTTCTGATTTATTTTCCTTCTCTAGAGATTTCTTCTCACTTTTGTGAGATAAGATTGATTTGTTAAAAAGTGATTTATGTCTTTTAGAACTTCTTGTACTTGATACATGGTCATAGGATTCTTGCTTATATCTTTTTTCATTATGATATTCTTCTATTATTTCTGCTTTAGACATCTCTAGAAGAGCCTAGAATCGTAATATTTAACAGAATACTTTTATGCTTGAACTATTTCTTGTCGATTTCTAAAAAATACTAGTGTATAACCTTTGTTGTTTCTATTTGAGTTTTTGAAAACATGTACTGCACTTGTGCCAGTGTGTTTTAGTTGCCTGAATAGTAATACCTTATTTATATTTTGTGGTATATTATATAATCTCGATATGAACTGTTTTCTGTTTTCAAGTATCTCTTTTCTGTTTGATTCTGAAGTGATACGTACTAAAAGTTCATTTGTGAGAAGGATAACCCAAGCTTCGATCTCTTGTACAAAGCTATTTCCTTTTTTAAAAGATACTTCTGCTCTTGTTTTCTATATTTTTCTTTTATCATTTCGATATTTTTAACATAACTCAAGTGTTTAATTGTGAAGAAGACTTGTGATCTTGATATGTGATAAAGTATATCCCATACAGTAATAGTTTCTTCTTTGCTTAGATAAGATTCTCTTTTGTTAGCTATGCCATTAGTTCTACTGAGGACTTTTTCTTTAACTAAGAGCGTTTTTTGTTCGTACATTCTTTTTTTCTCTTTATCTTTTGTAGATATTATTTTTTCCTCTTCTATTTAGATATAAGCTATTTCTTTTCTCTTTTTGCTACTTGTTGAACATTCTCCCTTTTCAGTTTAGTTATACTAAGTAAACCTCTTCTTTTGTATTTCTTCAAGTTTCTTCTTTGCTTAGATTTCTCTTCTTTCTTTTTCTTTTTCTTTGTTTTGTACGATTTTTTCTTTCTTTAGACTTTCTTTTTTGACCTTTTCCTCAAGTATTAGATTTATCTGGTCAAATTCATCCTTTTTTTTCTCTAGTCTTATCTTAGCTTCATCATACTCTTTTTTATAATCAAAGTAAATAATGCACCATTGGTTTCTATTTGCAAATTTTTCTTGAATCACTTTGATATGTTTGTTTCCTTTTAGAGACTATTTTATTGATTTTTTTCTTTATTCTGCATTGTCTCCCAGGATCTTAACTGCTGCTACCTTTGTTTTGATCTCTTCTTTGTCTTTACATGTTTCTGAGTTAGGTGCCTATAAACTACAGTCTAAAGATGTACTACTATGTTTTGCTTTTCCTATCTCTACTAGTTGTTCTAATCTATCTTCTATCTTATCTTTATGTAGGTGTATTTCTATGCTATTTTCTACTAATTAGATATCTTCTATAATTTCTAGTACATTCACTCTTTCTGCTCCTCTTTCGTTACTGTTTACCTTTTCTTAATATTACATGTTTTGTTTTATATTTTTGCATGATTCTAATTCTTTATCTCTTTCTGCTTCTATAACTATTACCTCTTTAATTCTTATTTCTATTTCTTGTGTTGTTTCATTTGCTTTTTCTAGCTACATGATTGTTACTTCTTGCTCTCTGTCTAAAACTTCTTTGATTTTGTCTATAGCTTCTATAAAAGTAGCTCTTTCTAGTACAACATGCTACTGTCTTGCTAGAGTAATGATACTCTTATTGATATTCATTACTTTCATGACCATTTCATCAAGATGATTTGCTAGACCTAGTACTGATATGCTACTTTCTTGAATAATTTCTCTACTATACTCTTTGGTTATTTTCTTAATGAAGTACTTAAAGCTTTCTGTGTTTCACATATTATTTTGATCTTGTTTTGTACACTCTGGTTTCTTCTATCTTTAATCTGTTTTCTTTAAGTGACTTTATTTTTTTGACTAAATTTCCTAGGTTTTTTTTGATTACCTATAATTTTTCCAGTTTCTGTTATATATAGATTCTTTCTATTAGCTAATATGTGACACATCTTGTTAGTTTTTAAATCATATTTGTTTGTTTATACTGTTTCTATGTGTTTGTATTACAATAACTAATCTGCAATTCAGAGTGATTCCAAATCCCCAAAATTTCTAAGGAAAAAAATTTTTTTCATCAAAATTTTCTGTTCCTAATTTTGTGTTAGCCTTTCTAGTTGTTTTTTGCTCTTATTCTTTTAATACAATATATATATTTTTTGGTCTTCCTTCTTTTTCCTTAATGCTTTAGATACTGTTTCTTAATAGATTTTTCAAGTTATCTTGGTTTTTCACTTAGCTTCTGATTTGATCAAAATGATCTGTAGAAAGAGTTGTGATTTTATTATTTTGATAAAAAAGTATATTTATCTCATATTATATTATAATTATATTTAAATAATTCTTAATTTTAATTAGCTATTATTATAGTTTGTGTAATCTAAAATTTTAGCTAACTTTCTCACCTCCTAAAATATTACTTAATATCTGTTACTACTTTTACTAACTAAAATATATTTATAAAACCAAAATAGATACTACTCTAATTTTCAAGACTCTTTACAAACTTTAGAATACTTTGTTTTCTGTTATAAAATTAATTAGATATTCTGGAATATAAGCTACAATATCTTAAAACTTACAGAAACTAATTTTTAATCCTTCTCTCTTAATAAAATCTTTACTGTAACTAATATTACTTATTTTTCAAAACAGAAAGTTACTCTATATATTTATATTAATATCATCTATGAAATCTGATACTAGTATACGTAATAATAATATCTTGAATAGTTGGGTATTAGTGGATTTTTCCCAAACAGTGTTAATAAGAATACATAACTGGCCGCGTAAGCAGCCAGTCATATATTTCTGTTAACACTGTCTGAGAAAAATCCACTAATACACAATGACTCAAGATATTATTACTTAATACCCTGACCTCTCACATGAAAAAAAACGGTATAAACAGATCATTTAAACTTTATATAAACAATAGATATTAATTTAATTTAATGATTTAAACTTTTATATAAAATAATGTCAAATTTAATGATTTAAACCTTTATATAAAATAACGATAATGTAAAATTTAATGATTCAAGTGCTATCTTTTCTCTAAATTATCAAAAAAGAAAAATGAAATATTCTTTTATAAATGCATTCGATTTTTATTCAACTTATGGCGAACCATCTAATATTCGTAAAAAATTTGAAAGACCATCGAATGAAAAACTTCAATCATACAAAAAAAATGCAACACCTACAAACACCCAAAAAAGTACTATAACGTGTGCTAACCGATTTAAAAATTATATTCAAGATGTTCAACCTGACTTCAACCTTGATATATTTAAAGATAAAGTAGTTATTGCGAGTCTTCTATCTGAATTCATTGTTCAAGTAAAGACACTAAATGATATAAAGTATTCATCAGAATCTTTATATGTTGGAATTAATGCTATCAATTATTATTTGCAAACTACTTTTAAGCATCAACTAGTTAATATCCATTTGGATTTTGAGTTTAAGAAGTTTCGTGATATATTGCATAGTAGAATAAAAGAATTAGAAGAAATAACTTCATACCAAAGTGCGAATCCATTAACTGAGGAGAAAATGAAAATTATTTTTAATCACTAACAAATATCATGAGATACTTCACAAGGGCTTTTATATAGGGTATTCCTTTGGATCGGTTGTATTACTGCATGACGAGGTGGTTCTTATTACAAAATAAAGTTAAAAGATTTAGTTCCATGAGATGATAGTGGATATGATTTGGTAATAATTCACGATAAAATACATCAAGGTGGCTATTTTCACCATCGACATGCACATGAAAAGGCTAAAGTTCAGTCCCATATATTACCACTGAATAAACCAAACGAATGTAGTCCGATCGCTAATATCAAGCTATACATTTCAAAACGGCCTCCTAATGCTGATGAAGAATTTTTTCTTCATCCTCTTATTAATTATTCAGGTATATTTATTTATTTATTTTTTTTTTTTTATTGTTTAAGGTAGCTTATATTGCCGACGGGATTTTATTAGTATTTGCATACGGAATTATACATTGATAATCCCTACTGTTTGTAATTACATGAAG